GGGCGTAGGGAATACTCGAAGGCGTGGGAACGTTGAATATGAATAGGCAAGGTCGAGCGTGGGCAGGGGTACATCCCTTAAAATTTCAGCTTCCTAGACTCCGTGGTTCCCGAGACAATAATTTGCCCGTCAAAAATTTTCACGGGGCCATACATGTTACCCGCGAGCAGGAAAAAGCTGAATCTAAATTTTCTGGATCGCGTGTGGGCAGCAGACATGCCCACAAAATTTCAGCCCTCTAGCTTCCGTGGTTCCCATGATAATTTTACCTGCCCAAACTTTTACGGGGCCCTACGTGTTACCCGCGGGTACGGGGGAAGGCTGAATTTAAACTTGCAGGGCAACATGTGGGTGGGGAATGTCACCCTAAATTTTCAGCATCCTAGCTTTTGTGGTTCTCGAGTTGAAAGTTTCAGACAAGTTGCTGCGGACACACTCACGCACACATACGCACACAAACACACACAGGGACAACCCCGTGAAAATATGCGTTTGTACTGTTGTTACACAGCACAAAACGTACAAAAATCGGCAGACCTAATGCACCAACGATCCGTGTTCGTTGATATCAACATGCAGGGGCAGCTCACTACCATGTTGCAAGCTTGTTGTGGTTAAAAAGAGATCGGGTTCAGCTCACAGGATTGACAAAGCCATCATCGAAAGTATACCAAAATTGACCGAAATTACATTTCAGAAAAACTAACCTTACTGTGATCGTCGAAATTGTCATAGGGTTCACAGAGTTGCGGAATGCTTGCAATGCTAACGCGGCTGCGCTGACTGCATTTTGATGACGGTCTTGCAATGCTTTTTGCCTCAACAGCAGTTGAAATTTGCTGCAAGCCACAATCAATTTTTGAAAATACGGTGCGTCACGCTTAAACAAAATCAGCAAAATAAAAGGAATTTTAAGAAGCAATTTATGCTCACATTTCGTGAATCGACGTCCCTTGCTGATATTGGTGCAATTTCGTGCTCGTTATAAGAGGGCTGAAAAAGAAAACAACAGAAGTTGAGCAAAGGAATGCAACTAACACGAGCAAACTTGCGCAAGGCCTGGAATTGCAACAACCACTGTACTCATGTTAAAAGTTAATGTCAGCCCTTCTCCTCTTTCACCCTTTGCTCCCTCACCTATCCTCCTTCGTATTCCATGAAACATGAAAGGTGAAAGTAATTCGAAATAGGGCAAGTGACAACAAATGCCAACAGTAACGGCCTGCTGAAAACATAGAAGATTTCCTCTTTCACAAGCTTCTTAGAAGCGTGTTGACATTAATATTTTATGGTTTAAAAACAGTTGTAACAATAACCAGTAGTTAAAAGTATTAAATAGCAACGCGCGCCAGACTAGCTGGTGCGATCACGCGTTTTGTGCAATTCAGCCTATCGAACGATTGCCTATTAATGATTTCCACTACTTTGTACTTTAGCATATGCAAACACAGTTCAAACATTGGAAAACAGTTAAAAATTTTATGCACCATCGCACGAAGCTGAATTAAAAACCCTGAATGGTGAATATCTTTGTCCCGAGTCAATAGTTACCCGAAAAAAATTTTCACTAGCCCGTACGCGGTACCCGAGAGCGCGGGAACGCTGAATTTGAATGGACAAGGTTGAGAGTGGGCAGCTGGTCATTACCCCAAAATTTCAGCCTGCTAGACTCCGTGGTCCCCGAGATATTAATTTGCCCGTAAAAAACTTTCACGGGGCCGTACGTGTTATCCGCTAGTAGGGGGAAGCTCAGTTTAAATTTGCGAGGTCACACGTGAGTGGCGAACGTTCCCGTAAATTTTCAGCTTCCTAGCTTTTGTGGTTCCCCAGTT